TCAACATATTAAGTAGTGAGCTTTCCAAGCCAGGCATGTTGGTACATGTTTGTAATCCCAACATTGCAGGAGGCTGAGGCAGGAAGATGGCAAGTTCACTCCCACCCTGGGTAGTTCAGTGACTTAGGGAGACCTTGTCTCAAAAATAAATAAAAAGGGGCCAAGGATCTAGGTCAGTGTCACCACACTTGCCTCAAAAGCACAAGGTCCTGAGTTTGATCCGTGTACTGAAAACATAATAATAAAATTTTTTGAATAATTAATTTTTAATTATAAATTTTTAATAAGGGCTGGGGAGATAACTCAGTTTGAAGTTTCTGGGTTTAGTACCTAGGAATACCCCCTCTAGAAGCAAACTAGAAACATACACACACACACACACACACACACACACAAATGTAGTGGGCTATCCTGCTCCAGAAATGTCCAAGAAGAGGCTGTAGAGGGAGAGCCAGGAAGGGGGGACCCAAAGTCTCTTCCTGCTGCGCAGTGATAAAGAGGCATGGGTGTGTTTCTCTTGCTCTTGCTTTCTAGCTTTTCCAGTTGGTGTCAAAAATTTTGCTTTTCTAGACTCGCGGACCTGGTCACAGCCAGAGACACTTGGAAGTCCTCCATCTCCCCGGCATGGCCATGTGATGGTGGCAGCGGAGACGAAGCTCTTTGTCCATGGAGGCCTGGCAGGGGACAAATTCTTTGATGATCTCCACTGCATTGACATAAGTAAGTAGGTGGAGAGCATGGGGGTTCCTTACAAGGTGTTTTGTTTGCCAGTCTCAAAATAAAAAGCTGGATGTGGGAGTGCATACCTGTAATCCCCCAGACTTGGGAGGCTGAGGTCAGCCTGAATTATATAGTTCAAGGCAAGCCTGAACCACATAGTAAGACTGTCTCAAAAAGCCAAAAAATGGCCAGGCATGGTGGCACACATCAGTTTTCCCAGTACTCAGGAGATTGAGGCAGGAGGATTGATGTGAGTTTAAGGCCAGTGTAAACTATATAGTGAGGATCTGTCTCAAAAAGCAAAGCACAAAACACAAAAAACAAAATATATATAAAATTAAATTAAAATTTAAAGTGGGCTGGGCATGTATCTAGGTGTGAACGCCCTGAATTCAACCCCCAGTACAGTACTGCCAAAATAAATACATAAAAAAATGAATAAGTATCAAAAGAAGTTCTTTTGTGCTGAGGAACTGCTTCATGGATCTTTTTCCTGCCACATTAGTTTTCCTAAACCAGTGATATCCTGCCTCATTTTTTTTTCTGCCTCATTTAAATGCTTGTTTGATTTGGGATTGAAATCAGGACCTTGCGCTTGCCAGGTGAGCGTGGCACCACTGAGCTACATCCAGGACCCTAAATGCTTGTTTGAAAAGATACAAATACCCAGGGCTGGGGATTTAGCTCATTGGTTCCACTGCCTGCCTCAAAAATGCAAGATCCTGAGTTCAATTCCCGGTACCAAAAAAACAAAAACAAAAACAAAAACCAAACAAATATCCATGCAAAATAGGCAGGGTTGGCTGCTAAAGCAGCCAAGAGAACATGGGTTTTGGAGCCAAGACTCAGTACATGTGTAGTTCCAAACTGTGGAGTCTCAGACAAGTCCTTTCCCTCTCTAATCCTGTGTGTTCTCTTTCCCAAGAAAAGGGTAGGCAGAAGTAATTAGCAGTTCACAGGGCTGTTAGGAGAATTAAGTGAACAAGATACTCAAGGTATCTAGCCTACACTCAGAAAGTTGCATAACAATGAACTTTTGTTTTGTGGGGAGCTTAGTCCAGGCTGGTATCAAACTTGCCTTGATCCTACTGCCTCATCCTCCTGAGTACTGGGATTACAGGTGTGTGGCACCGTGCCCTGCAAGAACTTTTAGCTTTTAAAACATAAAGGCACAGAACTTTCCTGAAGCAGTTGAGGTTGAACAGTTAAGGCGATGATCAATGGAAAAACTATGAATGCTCGTATCACATCTCAGTTTGCTCCGAAGACCACCTATATGAGAATCCCCTTCTTGATCTTGATCAAAATTGCAGGTTACCTCAAATAATTTGTTTTTGTTTTTGTTGTTTCAGTGCTGGGATGGAACCCAGAGGTACTGTACTGCTGAGGTACATCCAGCCCTTTATTTCAAGATAAGGTGTGTTGCTAAATTGGCCAGCCTGAGCTTGAATTTTTTTTTTTTTTTTTTTTTTTTTTTTAAAGACAGGGTCTCACTGTGTTTCAGACTGGCCTCAGACTCTTGGTGATCCTGCTACCTCCACCTCCCGAGTGCTGGGATTACAGATGTGTGTCACTATGTGTGGCAAATTTGATTTGTTTTTTTTGTTTTTTTTTGGTTTTTTGAGACAGGGTCTTGCTATGTAGACCAGGCTGGCCTCAGATTCACTGCAATCCTGCTTCAGCCTCCCACGTGGTGGGATTACAGGCACGTGCCACTATGCCCAGCTTCCAACTAATTCTTACACTAACCCTTGCTCTGTGACCTCTCAAACATCTTAGTGAATGATTTTGGATTGTCGTAGGTAAGTTCTGCAAAGTGTAGTAGGGAAGTTTGAAAGCACATTTTAGCGTGTCATGCCACAACTCTCTCCACAGGTGACCTGAGGTGGCAGAAGCTTAGTCCCACAGGTGCTGCTCCGGTAGGCTGTGCTGCTCACTCAGCTGTGGCCGTGGGAAAACACGTGTATGTCTTCGGAGGGATGACTCCCACCAGGGCACTGGACACCATGTACCAGTATCACATAGGTGAGCAGATGTCACTCTTTTTTTTTTTTTAATTGTACCTGGGGATTGAACTCAGGTCCTTGCATTTGCAAAGCAGGCTGCAGAGCCACTGAGCTAAATCCCCGCCCCACCTCTTTGTATTTTTCAATTTGTCTAAATCCAAAAGAATGAGAACTAAACTGCAGTGAATCATGAAAGCAATAACACCATCAATAGGTTTTTCCCCTTTATTTCTGTTTGTTGTGCTCAGCTGATTTAGTAAATCACAAAGCATTACTGGAAATTTCTTAATACAAGCCTTGTTGTTTTATCCCTAACAGAAAAACAGCATTGGACCTTACTTAAATTTGACACTTCTCTACCTCCTGGACGACTGGACCATTCCATGTGTGTCATTCCATGGCCAGTGACATCTACTGCTGAGGAAGAAGACTCAGAATCTGTCATACAGGAAGGACATTCTGTTGACAGAGTGATCCAGAGGGGTGACTTACATGAGGAAAGTCACACTGACACGTTGCTCTGTTTTGTGTTTGGTGGGATGAATACAGAAGGGGAGATCTATGATGATTGTATTGTGACTGTAATTGACTAATAAAAGCCACTTACTTGATACTTTCATTGAAGTGAAACCTTAACTGTCTTATCGCCAGAATATTTCTTGCACAAGGTATCTGCCTTGTTTATATATTCTTTGTACATGAAGAAATGAACAGGATAACCCCGTGAAAAATCCTTACATTAAACCTAGGTAAAGGTTAACATAAACCTGGGGGCCTGGGGCAGGAGTTCAAGCCCAACAAGATACACGTCTCAAGACGAAAAGGGCTGGGGATGTAGCTCAGTGCGAAGGCCCTGGGTTCATGCCAACCAAAGGTGTGTGTTTGGGGGGTGGCAACATAGCCCAAGCTGCTAATACGCATGGACATTTACTTAAGTCTTGATCTGACCCTCACAGAGGTTCACAGTACACAGTAGTGAGCGTTTGGCAACAGGGATACGAGAACCCTTATGCCTCCTACCCCACTGACCCCCAGGGAACAAAGTATTTGGTTTTAACATTTGATGGGAGTCTTACCTGCAGACCTGTATTACATACCATGTCTACCCCCAGTTTTTTTTTTGTTTTTTTTTTTTGGTTTTTTGAGACAGGGTCTCACTGTGTAGTTGAGACTGACCTGGAACTCACTATGTAGCCCAGGCTGGTCTCAAACTCACAGCAATCCTCCTGCCTCAGCTTCCCGAGTGCTGGGATTACAGGCATGCGCCACCACTCCTGGCTACCCCAAAATTTTCTTTGGTACTGGGCATTGAACCCAGAGCCTTTGCGCTAAGCTACATCCCTCACCCCATTTTGAAACAAGGCTAGACTTGAACTTTTATTTAGATCTTCTGGCACCTAACCCTCCCAGTGCTGGAATTATAGGCATATACCAACCATCACACCTGGATCCATCAATTCTGAAAAGAACACAAGGGACTATATGTAAACCCAGCTTTAAAGCATCATTCATTGGTTATACAAAGCCAAATTTTAGGAAGGAGACCTAGGACATTTATGTTCAAGATAAAACTTCATTTCTGGGTACTGTGAAACAGCCCTTGCCGGGCAAGGGGCACAGTGAGCCTCCCTCCTTTCTTTGGAATAGAAACATTTCCTTACCCTGCATCCTAAGTATGGCCCACACTCCTCCTCATCCAAAAGAGAATCTAACCTTTCATCTTAGTTATCTTTCTAAAATAAATGGTCAAGGAGCCAGGGATTTAGCTCAGTGGTTTCACAGCCTGCCTCACAAGCATAAGGGCCTGAGTTGTTCGATCCCCAGTACCAAAAAACAAAAGAAACCAAAAATAAAAATAAATTGACCTAATCAGATAGAAGCTTTTCACAAAAATTACACCAGTGTAAATAACAAACATTTATTGGTGTCACTTATGGTAGAAAAAAAGTTCCTACGCCAGATGTACATGACTGACCCAGTTGTTAAATAGAACATTTCTGAGGTGAACACACACCCTGACCCAACTTTTTTACCCAGATTTTTAAAGATGGCCAATTTGTCCTCTCCCCCCACCCCAAGACACATGAGCAACTGCTAATGAAAAGCAGTAAACAGCCACTTGGGCTATAGCATTTTCAACTCCACTCTGAGGTGAAGATTCCAATTACATTCGAGACTTAAGTTCTCTCATTTTTCTCCTAACAAAAGTTCCTGAGTCCAGTATTTACAATATTACAGCGCTTGCAAATCAGTGTCTACAACTCATCTTTTTCTGCTGTATCCTCTTCACCAGTCGGGGGAGGGCCTGCACTTCCATAGAGTTTGCTGATAATTGGCTGGACAATTTCTTCTAATTCCTTCTTCTTTGCTTTGAAATCTTCAATGTCAGCATCTTGGTGGCTTTCCAGCCATTCAATCTTGTCCTCTACAGCTTTTTCCATGGTCTCCTTATCTTCAGAGGAAAGCTTGCCTCCCAGCTTTTCTTTATCTCCAATCTGGTTCTTCAGAGAGTAGGCATAGCTTTCCAACTCATTCCTAGTGTCGATGCGCTCCTTCAGCTTTTTGTCTTCCTCAGCAAACTTCTCAGCATCATTGACCATCCTTTCAATTTCTTCAGGAGTCAGGCGATTTTGGTCATTGGTGATTGTGATCTTATTTTTGTTCCCTGTACCCTTGTCTTCAGCCGTCACCCGAAGAATGCCATTCACATCTATCTCAAAGGTGACTTCAATCTGGGGGACCCCACGGGGAGCAGGAGGAATTCCAGTCAGGTCAAATGTACCCAGGAGGTGATTGTCTTTTGTCAGAGGTCGTTCACCTAGAAGTTAAACAGAGAACTTTGCTGCTGACAAGAAGTGGACACATAGATCCCTCCATTTCTGTTAGAGCTTATAGTGGGACAAGGCACTTTATCAAGCTGAAGTGACCCAGTACTCGTCTGGCAAGGAGCAATAACTGTGTTCATTTAATGCAGTGGTGGCGAACCTATAGCATGTGTGCCGCAGCAGGCTCTGTATCACTGAAAGCTCTAAAAGGTTCACCATCACTGTCTTAACTGAATTTTATCTACTTTATGCACTGTAAACCCCTTCTTGTTCTTGTATTCTAGGAACCAGCTCCAAAGTTACTTTTAATGGGAACAAGTGCTAAATAACCTAAATACTGACTCTATGTAACCAAACACTAGCCAAATTAAGGGCCCCTTCAACCTGGAAAAGAGCAGATACTTCTTTCCATAACCCTTTTAATGCTGTATATTAAACAAGAAATCATGCTCTTTTAAGACCCACCAGAGCATTGAGAAGTGTAATTACCTTCATAGACCTTGATTGTAACAGTTGGTTGATTATCAGAAGCTGTGGAAAAGATCTGAGACTTCTTGGTGGGGACCACAGTATTTCTTGGAATCAGTTTGGTCATGACACCTCCCACAGTTTCAATGCCAAGTGTAAGGGGACACACATCCAGCAGTACCAGGTCTCCTGTGAAGGTAAATAAATCAGGGTAAGTTCCAACACAAGCTGTAAGACCACTACCAAGTTTCCTCATGAAATAAATTTATCTTTTGTTTTTCTATTTACTAAGGTTCTGACCATAAACATAGGAGAAATAAATGAACAGTTGCTAAGATAAGAATCATAGGACTGACCCAGGTTCTGTCTTGTTTCTTTACTAGTTGTGTGATCACATTCTCTATTGTTCTCTAAAGCAAAAGTTTATTACTGCCTTTCCAGGGAGCCACTGAAGCATCATGCAAGACACTGTGACAAGCCAGGAATGGTGGCACACACCTCTAATCCCAGCACTTGGGCATTTGAGGCAAGAGGATCCATGTGAGTTCACAGCCTGCTTGGGCTATATGTTGAGTTCAAATCCAGCCTTAACTACACAGTGAGACCCTGTCTCAAAAACAACAGGGCCGGGGTTTGGCTCAGTGGTTCCGCCGCCGCCTGCCTTGCAAGCACAAGGGCCCAAGTTCGATCCCCAGTACCAAAAAACAAAACAAAACAAAACAAACAACAACAGAAGAGGTGCCATACCTGTATCTTGATCACCAGAGAGCACACCAGCCTGGACAGCAGCACCATACGCTACAGCCTCATCTGGGTTGATGCCACGGGATGGCTCCTTGCCATTGAAGAATTCTTTAACCAGTTGCTGAATCTTTGGAATTCGAGTGGAGCCACCAACAAGAACAATTTCATCAATATCAGACTTCTTCAAGTCAGAATCCTCCAACACTTTCTGGACAGGCTTCATGGTAGAGCGGAACAGGTCCTAGAATAAGAGACCAAGTTACTGTGATACCTGTTAGCTAGATATTGTCTGTCTCTACATGCATTGTCCTGAATCAGAGAATCTAACCAGAACTCATTAGCAAGACAAAAATCTAGGAACATACCATGTTTAGTTCTTCAAATTTGGCTCGAGTCAGGGTCTCAGAAAAGTCTTCTCCTTCATAGAAAGACTCAATTTCAATTCTTGCTTGATGTTGAGAAGACAGGGCCCGCTTGGCCTTTTCTACCTCACGCCGGAGTTTCTGCACAGCTCTGTTGTCCTTCCTCACATCTTTGCCAGTCTTCTTTTTGTAGAGCTTGATGAAGTGTTCCATAACACGTTGGTCAAAGTCCTCTCCACCCAGATGAGTATCTCCATTAGTGGCCACGACTTCGAAGACACCATTGTCAATTGTGAGAAGAGACACATCAAAGGTTCCACCACCCAGGTCAAACACCAGGATGTTCTTCTCCCCCTCTCTCTTATCCAGGCCATAAGCAATAGCAGCTGCTGTCCTGTTAGAATGAAAAGGAGAAGGAAAACATGTTAGTCAAGTTCACATTTCTCCTACTGGGTAAACATGCTGTATCCTTGAATTTCACACTTACGGCTCATTGATGATCCTCATAACATTCAGTCCAGCTATTGTTCCAGCATCTTTGGTCGCTTGCCTTTGAGCATCATTAAAATAGGCAGGTACTGTAACGACTGCATGGGTAACCTAAAAAGATGATAAATGGTAATTATTGTACTGTCACATGCTTTAACCTCTATTTAAACAGTCAAACCAGCACTTCAGAATCTAAATCAGTCTACTAGTAGAGTACCATACATAAAATTTCATGAGACTGATGCCTCTAGCACTAAGAGAGCATTTAATTATACACAATTTCATAGCTGGGAATTGTAAACAGTAACACATGAAAATTGTCTAGCATTTTGTCTGACCTACAGTAAAGCACCTAATAAACCTGATAAGCATGGATGTTGTTCAGATTTAAATTTCCAAAACCATAAGATTCTAATGACAGGACATAAGTCAACTAAGAATAATAACCTTTAAGAAAACACTTAACATTATTCTAGAAATATTTACCTTCTTTCCCAAATAAGCCTCAGCAGTTTCCTTCATTTTAGTGAGAACCATGGCAGAAATTTCTTCTGGAGCAAATGTCTTGGTCTGTCCACCTCCAATGTCAACTTGAATGTATGGTTTAGTTTTCTTTTCAACCACCTATTTTAAAGAATGACTTGGTATAAAATTTTACAGCCACTGAAGCAAATGGCATTTCAAACTTACCTCCCCATAGTCTGGCTTATTTTGGTCCCTG